TTAGGAGGAACTTCCTGACAGTAAGAGCTGTTTGACATTGCAACACACTTGGAGAGTGGTGGAGACTCCTTCTTTGAAGGTTTTAAAACAGAGCTGGAAAGGCCATCTGTCAGGAGTGCTTTGATTTTGTGTTCTTGCATGGCAGGGGGTTGACTTCATGGCCCTCAAGGTCTCCTCCAACTCTATGATTCTATACTCTCTATTTCCCACCTAGCCCTTTTGTGCTGGCAGTTAAGACCACTTTAAGGGATGCTGTGGAATTACAGATAGGGCTGGTCCTTACCTCTGGGTGAAATGAAGCAACTGCCTTAGTCAGCAGATCTGGGCTGTTAATGAAAGGGCATTAAATGATTAATCTTTTAGTTTGTTATTGCAGGTTGCGTCCCCCTTATCCTACCTTCAGTGTTTTGGATTTTGGATTTTATTTATTTATTTATTTATGATTTTGGTATACTTATATTTGCATATATGTACACAATGAGATATTGAAGATGGGACCCAAGTCTAAACTAAAAATTCATTTATGTTTTAGATACATGTTATAACATATAGCCTGAAGGTAAATGATACAATATTTGTAATAATTTTGTGCATGAAATAAAAGTTTCTGTACACTGAATCATCAAAAAGCAAAGGTGTCACTATCTAATTCACCCATGTAATAACTTTTGGGTTTTGGAGTATTTCAGATTTTGGAATTCTTGATAAGGGAGACTCAACTTGTATTTATATTTTTACTGCTGGGAATGGGGAGAGGTGTTTGTGAGATTTTCTGTCTCATTTGCCAATATAAAGTGACTGGTGTTAGGTACTATGGGACCTGTAGGTGAGTATAGTAAACAATTTTATGGTTTGTTTTGAGAAGAAAAATATCTTGGATCATCAGTGATTCTTCATGATTGACAGTTCAGACAGAAACCCCAGTGCTTCCTGAGGCTCCAAAGGCAGTTGGAATTTTCTTAAATGGTGGCTGCTGTCATAAAGGACCCTCATTTTGGCACTATCTTCTCTATGGGCAATGTATTCACACATTGGTTAACGTGACTTGCTAGCATTCCCATCTTTCAAATGCTGTTTTGCCTCTGTCCCATGTGTCTCTGGAACTTAAGTATGTGAGTGGGACTGTGGGTAGGAATATATTTATTTTATTTTATTTCCCCTTTTATTTATTTGTTCCATTTTATTTTATGTTTTTTCATACCTCTCTCCTAATGCCAGACGAAGGTGCTTTATATCACAAATTAAAACAGAATATAGCCATAATACATTTTGAAACACAATTTAAAAACAATTAAATTGACTTCATCAAACATGCCTGTGAATCTGGCAGTGAGGAGAGAAGAGGAGGGGGTGAAATCTCACCTTCTCAGTAGGTTCTGGCAAAAGCAAACTGCTGCAGCCTTTGATAGCTTGTGTATTCTTCCTCACTAATAACTTTTGCCAACTTGACCACACTCTGATGTTGTTTGGCCACACTTGTCCAAGTTTGTCTTTGCAAAATGTTGGAGGGTATGAGAGTTCTGTGCTATATGTAACCAGCCCCAGTAAATAGTCTGGATTGCAACATTTTGGACCTAACAGAGGTTCCAAAAATTCCCCAAAGACAGCTCCATATAGACTGTATAATTACAGTGATCCAAATGGGATGTCATCAAGGCATGTGTCACAGATGTGTAAACTTCATTCTACATCCAGCCTGTTTCAGTTCCACATGTATTCAAACATAAATCAATTCTATCCAATTTCCACATCTCTCTGTACTTTTTAAAAAAATAAAAAACAACAGGATTTGGAATGATTGCTTTTTTTAACTAACAGTTTTGGCTATGAGATTCTGGGAACTGTAGTGCAAAAAAAGAACTTTTCTAAGCATAAGTCTTCACTTTTTGCAGTGTTCCGGACATGAGTCAGCAGCTGAATGATCTTGAAGTGGCCAACTACTTTTTACTGTGCTTTGCTCCAGCATTTTACACCAGGATAATTGACTGTATGTCCCATAACAGGCTCAATACGTCATTTGAGTGGAGCTCACAGCACAGAAAAATGGTTTCTGAATGTCTTTTTAAAAAACATTTTATTTACAACATAAAATTATATCACACTGCCATAAAAACAATAGACAAATACATAAAACCTACATATAAACATTCATACACACATGTTATTTCCTTCCCTGGCTTCTGTAGTCTGTAACATACATTAGATAATAACTTTTATTTTTCTTCTTCCTACGGTATATGTTATCTAAGAGCCTCTGTCTTATTTTTGATTGGTTCTGTTAGTTTCAAAGTTTGCTCTTCATTCTAGATTGAGGATTAAGCAAAACATATAACAAATGTATCATATTTCTTGAAATCATATACCAAACATTTTCTGTCTGCTATATTACTAATCTCAGAACCTTTTTTTAATAGACATGTCTCAGTTATTAAGAGTTTAGACATTTGTACATTCTACCCCAATCCTTATCAATTTTTTTCTCTTGGGGTGTCCCTAAGTAATAATGTTTGTCATTTTCCATATATTTGTACATCTTCATTTCCCATTCAGATATGTCTGGGATCTCGGTCTCTTTCCATTTTTGCATATTATATTCTAGTAGCTGAAATCATATAATATAGTAGTTTTCTGTATTTATTTTTATGTTTTTCTTCTGTCATGCCTAGAATAAAAAAATGTGGATCCTTTTTTATTTTGATCTCTAGAATCTCCATTATGACATTATGAGTCATTGTCCAGTTTTTTTTTTTTTTTTTTTTTTTGCTTTTTTGCAGGTGCACCACATGTGAAGCATGGTTTCTTTTTCTTTCTTACACTTCCAACATATATATCATCAGAAGTTTTGTAGATTTTACTTAGTTTCTCCAGAGTCAGATACCATCTGAATTGGATCTTGTAATAATTCTCTTTTAGATCTGATGATAAAGTATATTGTATTCTTTTTCCCCAATTCTTCTCCCAATCCTTTAGCTGTATATTTTCTTAGAGTACTTGGACCCATTTAATCATGCAGTCTTTTACTAATTCATTTTCAATTTCCATTACACTCTGATGTTGCTTGACCACATTTTATATCTTATTTTTCAACTGTGAAATGTTGTAAGGTTAAGACAATTGCTGTTTGGACTGGGGTTGATTGACGTTGTAGTCCAAGAAAGGTACCAGGTAGAAAGGTTGGTGAAAAGAAAGACTTCAATCAGAGCCATAGCTTTAAAAAAATACAGTGAACCCTTGGTATCCACTGGAATTTGGTTCCAGAATCCCCCATGGATGCCAAAATCCATGGACACTCAAGTCCCATTAAATACAGTGGCACAATAAGATGATGCCCCTTCTATAAAATGGCAAAATCAAGGTTTGCTCTTTGGAATTTATATATATTTTTCAATATTTTCAAAGTGTGGATGCTTGACTCCTTGGATAAAGACTCTGTGGACCATGCTGGTTGGGGGCTTTTGGGATCTGTAATGCCAAAAAGTAACTTTTTCAAGCTCTGGCTGATAACTTGCAGCCAGATACATGCAAGGTTTGCTTTTTGGAATCTGCATATTTTAAAAATATTTTCAAGCTGTAGATGATTGAATCCATGGATAAAAAATCTGTGGGTATGGTGGGCTGATTCCACGAGAGCTTGTCTACCTCAAGTTCCTTTCTCTCAGAGTTAGATAATGTGGCCAGTTTTTCCCAACAGAACTACATTAGTATAGTCTAGAAAAGAGAAACATACAAAGTAGGGGGGGGGGGAAGGAGATGGAGAGAGAGCCAAATACTTTCAAGACTAGTCAGAGCCTGGATTGAGAGAGGAAGAGAAATTACTTAAGAAAAACAAACCCATTCTTGGCCAAGAAAGCTAACACTCAATAAGGAAGTTGGCAATACCAGCCTTGGCCTCGAGGGCAAGGCCCAGCTGCCCAAAGAAATGGTATCATAGCTTATTTGGCTTCCTGTAACCCAGGACCTAAGTTAAAAGGGATCACGCCATGTCACGTCCTGCACAGCATAATGCTAATTTGTTCTTTCTGAAATGCTCACTATGTACAGGCTTTCCCTAGCTATATATTTTATTCACATTATCTCAAACAGGTGGCTCATGTCTGAAAACAAGGTTGTTTTATTATTTTGCCAGATCTGCGATAGAGATTCTCTATTACTAATTTGGGTTTCATTATTTAGTAACTAGATTTTAATAGGACAGAGGCTGGTCCTTATATTACCCTGTGTGAGTTGGATATCTCAGGCATGCAGATTGTGTGAAGTGCAAAGCAACAGAAAGTACAGTAGGCCCTTGGTATCCCCTGGGGTTTCATTCCAGAACCCCTCATGGATATCAAAATCTGTGGATGCTCAAGTCCCATTAAATACAGTTGCATAGTAAAATTATATAAAATGAAAAAAATGAGGTTTGCTTTTTGGATCTGCATATTTAAAAAATATTTTCAAGCTGTGGTGGTTGAATCCATGGATAAGAAATCAGTAGATATGATGGGTTCACTGTACAGTTGCCCCTCCGTTTTCGCGGGGGATCTGTTCTGGACCACCACCCACACAAAAATGGGAAAATGGCAGTATTCAAACCCTATTGGCTTGAATGGCGGTGCACTCCCACAGGTGTCCACAGGCGCCCGTGGTCATGAGCCGTGGGCATGCACCCATTTTAATCCCCTTTGTTTGCCCCCTGTAAACGGCAGAGGGATGTGCACTCAAAGTCTGTGAAAACAGAGGGGCAACTGTATTTGCGAGACAGACCTATATGTGTATTACACTATAGTCTGCTGCTGTCCTTAAGGGAAGTAGAGGAAGACAGTAAGATTCAACTAACATTTTTTGTTGCATCCCTTCAAGTCATTTCTGACTTCTGACTTTGTGCCTTCAAATCATTTCTGACTTATGGCGACCCTTTAATGGGGTTTTCATGGCAAGATTTGTTCATGGGGGTTTGCCATCACTTTCTCCTGAGGCTGAGAGCATGTGACCTGCCCAAGGTCACCCTATGGGCTTCATGGCTGAGCAGAGAATCGAATCCTGGCCTCCAGAATACTAGTCCAACACTCAAACCACTATGCCATGCTGGCTCTCCCTAACTGCCTGCCAATTTTTTCCTAAATATATTGGGTGTGTGTGATTTTTACCATTGCCTTGGGCACCCAAACATCTTGGACAAACTCTGAGAAGGACAGATCATCCCCTGGAATAGGTAAATGACAGCCATATCAGAACAATCAATATTTACTATTATTTTTAAAAGGACCGAAG